CTCAGCAAGCGGGGCGCTCGGTGCCGAGCGCTTCTCCCCGCGGGACTCGCCGAGCTGGGGCGGCCTCCGCACGGCTGCTCACACTGGAGATGCTCCGGGCGACCGGCCCGCTCTCCTTGGGTTGCTCTTTGCTGGCTCCGGGAAAGCTGCAGGGTCTGCCTGCCCGGCGAGGAGCGCAGTGCTCTTGTCACTGGCAGGGGCGCCACCGTATTAAGTTCCCTCTCGGCCTCCGCGGGGCGGGTGGGTGCTAAGGACCCCCAGGTCACAGCACGAGCAATCGGAGGCACCAGACCTGAGGCACCTTGTCCAAAGTCACGGGCAGCTCGTGACAATGCCTGCATCCCCTTGGCCCAAGAAGTAAGCCCCTGGTTTCAAATGGGTAGTTTTATCTTTCAACTTTGAAAGTAGTAGAGCAGAGTATCTGTGTGAACTCCCGAAACAGGACTGTGATTTGATCCTGTACTTTCAATACTGTGACCAGAAATAAAAATATGTCTCTATAGAAGCTTCCACCCATGAACCACTGGAAAGGCTGGCTGCTTTTCCAGTCAGAAATGACTCCTGATACTACTGCTCCCAGGAATAAAGAGGGAAGAGCAGCAGCAGGAGACCCAGAAGGAAATTCGTACACTAAGTACCCTGAGGCCTCTCAACACAGACCACAGAAGCAGGGCAGGATAGGTTCCTCCTGGTAGGGGACCTCCAGGAAGAGACAGAGAGGAGAAACAGAAGCAGGATCAGAAGAATGCACCTTCGGAGCTCATTATATCTTCAAAAGTGGTCAGAAGGAGCCAGAAAAGGGGAGGAGGAAAAGGGGGTTGGATGCTGATAATGAAGGATTGAAATTATCCTGACAGGGAGATGAAAAGAACTAGACAATAGACACTTTTAGGGCTAAACTGCAGCTTTTTTTTTTTTCAATCCTTTTGTCAGAAGAGGCTTTTCTGACATTTGGCTTGTCTAGACTGGGCCAAATGTTAGGAAAAAACCCTCTTTCGGAAGCCCCCTTATTCCTCGTAGAACAAGGAATACAGGGACTTGCTAAAGAGCACATTTGCTTTTCCGGAAAAAAAACAGAAGAACAAATGCATCCCTAGATGCAGAAGAGTTTTCCAGGGATATCTTGGGTATCCCGGAAAACCTCTTGGAGTAGTCTAGCCATAAAGCAAAACTCTGGTCGCAAAACACAAGAGGAAGGATTAAATACTAACCACACACTTGTATGGCATGGGTTGGGCAGAAGGAGGCAAATCAGAGCACCGTTGAAAGGCACTTGAATACTGTGCACTATAGAGCAGCAGGGTGGTCTGTTTGTCCCTACTAAATTTTGTTTAATATTACCTCTTGGAGTAGTCTAGCCATAAAGCAAAACTCTGGTCGCAAAACACAAGAGGAAGGATTAAATACTAACCACACACTTGTATGGCATGGGTTGGGCAGAAGGAGGCAAATCAGAGCACCGTTGAAAGGCACTTGAATACTGTGCACTATAGAGCAGCAGGGTGGTCTGTTTGTCCCTACTAAATTTTGTTTAATATTATGT